TTGAGATGTCTGAATAGAGGCAGATGGCAGGAAGCAAGAATGGCAATGCCAGAGGGGCTGATATGCTAGGGTAGGGACCTTGGACTTCACAGATTGGTGGGAAATGGTGAGCTAGAGATCAACTAGTATAAACGGAGTGAGCCAGGCCAAAGTCAATGAGGCCCCAACTAAGTCCCAGAGGTGGAGGGGAAAGGCCAAGAAGTGAAGAGGAGAGAGAAAGGATGCCACTCATTGACCACTAGGAATGTGGGTGGAGAAGAAGGGGACATCAGAATGACCTCTACTTCTGGCTTGGCTAGTGTGTAGCATAGCGGGCCTTTCTAGGACAGGACACACAGGCAGAGCAAGCTACGAACTGGAGCAAGTTGATTCCCACTGTAATGCATTAAGTTTGAAGAAGCAGGAGGACACCTGGGGAAAACAGAGTAGGCCATTGGATGTCTGATGCTTAGAAACAAGACCTGGTCTGAGAGTCATCAATAAGAACTGAGCTTAGCCAATGAGGGCACAGGGCTGAGAGGAGAGGAGGCTGGCAGTGGAACTTGGAGATTGAAGGAATAACATCTGGAAGGTGGGCAGAGCCACCCCAAGAGCTGGAGATGGGATGGTCAGGGAAATGGGTGGCCCCAGGAGAGAGTGGGGTATGGAAGACTAATGGGGTGTGGAGAGAGAACTCTTGGGCTGGGTAGGGGGACTGGAGGCAGCCTCTGACCTGAAGAGAGGCTTAACAAGAACCAGAGGATTAGAGAGCTTCCCTGAGGGACAGTGCCAGGTGCGTAGGGCAATAGTCTAATTGAGCTGAGGAGCACGCCGGTCATGGGTGACAAAGGGATATACCCTGCAGAGAGTCTTGTCAGGGGGGCTCACAGTTGGGGGCAGGGAGGGGAGGAATGGTTCTTGTTTGCTGATGTACTTTTTTAGGATACTGAGATTCAAGTAGGTTTATATGCTGAAGGGAGAGTTTCTTCATCTCAGACCTTGGTAACATTTGAAGTAGGGCCAGCTGCTTCACAGGACTATTGATGGGTGAGCGAGTTAATACACAGAAAGTTTGTGGTCAACGTTATCCATCACCATCACCATCATCTTTGGCAGCTCTGCTTTGGGAAACCTAAGATGAGTCACAAGACAGCACCATCCTTTCTCTGAAATTTCTTTGAACTGCTTCCCATGTTTCTGACATTAACCTTGAAAAGGCGTCAACATACAGTTGTCTTCTTTCCAAGGCTGACAATCTCTTGCCAAGAGTAGGAGCTTCTGCACTGCCCTAGCCTCTCACAGAATGGTGATGTGGCTGACCTCCTCCCTGGATTCTGTCTTCAAATCCTCTGAAGCTGCATCAGTGCTGTCATTCTTGCCTGGGCTCGTCCACCCCAAGTGCTGGCTGGTGTTCGCTGTAGTTCAAAGCATGTGGAAGTGTGTTCTGTGCTCCCAGGTATTAGAACTATGAGGCTGTAACCTCTTCCTTCAGAAATCAGGTTGCCTCCCTGAACCCCAGAAGTTGACTCCATTTGTATTAGTTTCCTGGGCCTCTGAATTATAACAAGTTTAGTGGCTGAAAAACAACAGAAATTTATTCTCTAACAGATCTGGAGGCCAGAAGTCCAAAATTAGTTTTATAGAGCTAAAATCCTGGTGTCAAAGGGCTGTTTCCTTCCAGAGGCTCCAGGGGAGAATTCGTTCCTTGTCCTTTCCAGCTTCTGATGGCTGCCAGCCATCCTTGGCTTGTGGCCACAAAACTCCAATCTTTGCTTCCACTTATCACATTGCCCTCTCCCTTTTGGTTGTCAAATATCCCTGTGACTCTGTTAGAAGGATCCTATGATGGCGTTTACATATCCAAGCTAATCTTTTCAAGATTCATAACTTAGTCATAGCTACAAAGTTCCTTTTGCCATCTAAGGTCATCTAAGGTCACATTCACAGGTTCCAGGGATTACAGCCTAGATATCTTTGGGGGACATCACTCAGCCTGCCATACCTTTATCAGGACAGATTCTCCAAGCACTCTGGTAAAGTAGGCAGAGCACATATTATACTCGTTTCACTGCTGAAAAGGTTATGGAGGCAACACCAACTTTGGAGTTAGTGGCAGGGCTAAGACAAAAGCCAGGCCATTGACTCCAAGCCTGGGCACATCTATAGCTCCACATGAGCCCATGAGAGTCTTGGTGCTAGCCAGGTGCAATGGTGCACACCTGTAATCTCAGGAATCAGGAGGATCACAAGTTGGGGGCCAGCCTGGGCAACTTAGGGAGACCCTGAACCCGCTCAAAATAAAAAAATAAAAAGGGCTGGAGATGTAACTCAGTAAAACATCCTGAGTTCAATTCCAAATACTCTCTTCCCCCTCCCCCCCCCCAAAAAAAAAGAGGGAGAGCCTCATTCTGAGACAGGATCTTGAAGGGATTTGAGGGGATGCCCAGAGTGGTTCAGGACATTAAAAAACAAAACAAACAACAGCAACAAAAGAAAAACAGGCTTTCCGAGCCCATTAACATTTTCTTTGTCTGGTCAGAGAGGTAGCATGGCTGTGGCCACCCCAACAGAAATACCTCACCTCACATAGCTGTTCGCGCGCGGGGCTTTGGGACATGGCTGGCAGGCACCTCTGAGACAGGGAATCCATGTTTTACTGGACTCTGCCAGGAAGGGGCACATGAAAGTGCCCTTCCTGGCAACGGCATGCAAGGGCTTACCTCAGTGCAGGGAGCACAGCGTCTCCACGGGCAGCCAGCGCCTCACTTAGCGCCAGAGAATGAGATATTTTTCCATCAGGCGCCACAGGCCGGGCTCGGCCAGAGACTTCTGTTTTATTGTCTTGAACAGATGAGCTCAGTTGTGGGGGGATGAGGCATTGGTGGGTAGGTTCTGTTGTTTGTCATGTGGAGACTGAATCTCTCCTCTCTCTGTCAGAGTAGGACCCCATAAACCCCACACTAAGCTGCTAAACCCTGCCAAGTGCACCCAGCTGTGGGGCCTGCCTGGAAAACAATGTTCATCTCATTTCTACCCCCTGGCTGCCCTGGATCCCGTGCCAAGGGCACAGCTGCCTGCCCCCATCCTGCCAGCTGGATGCCTTGGGCTCCTTCCTCACATCACTTTTGGATGAACAGATTGGAGCAATTTGGAAATGGGGTGGCTTGGACTCTAGAGAACCCCGAATTCAAACTATAGGCCTGTGGTACTTTTATCCCAGGTGAGTGTCAAGAACCGATTAATTGCTGGGTGCAGTGACACACACCCATAATCTCAGTGACACCAGAAGCTGAGGCAGGAGGATTGTGAGTTAGAGTCCAGGCTGAACAACTTAGTGAGAACCTGTCTCAAAATAAAAAATAGAAAGGTCTAGGGATGTGGTTTAGTGATAGAGCATTTGTCTAGCATGTAGAAAGCTCTGGATTTAATCCCTCGCACTGCCAAATAAATCAATTAGCAAAAGAACCAATCACTCTCCTCACTGTTGTTCTTCTGGTCTTGCAGTCTTGATGGCCCCAAAGTCTTGCTGGTCCCCGCTGTTAGAAGGGGCTGAGGAAGCTTTGAGCATTCATCTGCTTCTCCTGATGCCCTCTTGCTATCTCCTCTATTGCTCACTTGTGTGGGTATGGAAAGATCAATATGCCCTTAATCTCGTGGGATTTCGGTCTCATTCAAGGATATGTTAAATACTAGTATTACATATTAAGCATCGTAGGCTGTCAACTTGGTCTGGAACCCAGTATAGTTTTAGTGACTTTTTAAAGTCTATCCTGGATACTAAGCCACTCTAAAGAGTCATTAAGAAGGATATTGCTGAGTTCCTGTTTCATTAAGGCAGACTTGAACTGTGTGTGTGTGTGTGTGTGTGTGTGTGTGTGTGTGTCTGTGTATTGCACGCACATGTGTATATGTGTGTGAGATACTGGGGATTGAACACAGGAGGTTCCTACATCCACAGTAAGCACTTTGTGTGGGGACTTGGTGCTCTTCCCCTCCAATTCCCAAGCAAGGGGCCCTGGCATCCTGCTGCCAGAGTGACAGACATGGATTGGGGATAATGCTCTAGGATCTGGTGTGTGAGCCTCAGGGATGTGAATACCCACGTGTGGGGACTGGTCCCGGGCAGCTTGGCAACTTAAAGAGCTGATGTTCCTTGTTCCAGTGTTCCTGGTTACACCCAGCAGATTCCTCTCCTCTTCTCACATTTCTCATGTGATGCAGTGACAGTGTTACTGTGTTCACATGTGATGCTGTTACTGAGTCACTGTGGTGCACTCACTCAAGGATCAGCCCATCCACTGGTATCTGTGAAGTGACAGGTGCTGTGTGTTCTGGCTACCAAGAATACAAAAGGGAAGACCACAGCCCCTGCTCCCTTGGTGCTTACACTCGGGTTGGGGTGGGTGTTGTGGGAAGAGAGAGATGCACAGGCATTGTGGAGATCAAGGTGGCCCATCCTGTCAGACAGGTACCTTCATGCTGGACATGGTGGTACACTGTTGAAATCCCAGTGACTCAGGAGGCTGAGGCAGAAGGATCCCAATTTCAAGGCCAGCCTGGGCAACTTGCAAGATCCTATATCAAAATAAAAAATAAAAATGGCTGGAGATGTAGCTCAGTAGTAGGGCACCCTGTTTAATCCCCTGAACCACAGAGAAAGACACATTCGTGGCTTTGTGGGAGCAGGATGGAATAGAGGGATAGAATGGCTTTTCAGAGGAGGGTAAGAGCCAGGAAAGGACTTTGGATATTAGGTCCTTGAGGAATAGGATCAAAAAGTGAGAGAATAATAGGAGCAAAGCCTGGTGGCATGATAGTGGCCCAGGATGGGGAGAGTGGATGGTTTTGTAGGAGAGTGTAGGATAGATAAGGGGAATAGCAGCAGGTGCCTAGGGTTAGGTCATACAGGGCTGTTAAAGGCTGCCAAGGAATTTAGATCTGGGTGGAAGAGCCAACCAAGACTTCTGGGGTGGGGCATTATTAGATGATCCCAACACTTCCATCCACCTCTTATCCACCAGGAAGGTGCAAAGACACCCTGTCCACAATCACGGGGCCGACCACTCAGAACACATATGGGCGGAATGAAGGAGCTTGGATGAAGGACCCCCTGGCCAAGGATGAGCGGATTTATGTCACCAACTATTACTACGGCAATACCCTGGTAGAGTTCCGGAACCTGGAAAACTTCAAACAAGGTACATGTGATGGGTCCAACTCAGGTACCTCTTCCTTGCTTCATAGTCCTCTGTTTTAATCACAGCCAGACCTCTTTGAATGAGAATGGTGACATCTTCTGATGGCGGAAGGGCCTGTCCTGGGAGGTGGTCTCCCACACTGCCTCACAAGCTCTACTGTCTCTCTTCTCTCAGCTCAGCTGCTCCTTCCTAGCTTCTGTAACACAGGATGACCTTGAGTCTAGTCCAGGAAACAGTAGCGAAATAATTTCCCTTTCCTATTGTCCTTGAGAGTTTACAAATCTCACTGAAATATGTCAAGCACCCTGGATTCTTGATATAATCCAGTAAGGCAAGGGGAATTTGCTCTTTCCACTTTACAGATGAGGATGATCATCAGATGAGATAATGTTCAGGATATTTAAGCAGCTTTCTATACAACACTAGAAAGGGGCAGACCCAAGATACCAACCCAGGTCTAAAGACCCCTAGTTGATAACTTGTCCCATCACAGAAGTTGCCCTGTCCCTCTGCAATACTGCCCTGAAGCCTCCGCCTTCTTGCTACCCACAGGTCGCTGGAGCAATTCCTACAAGCTCCCATACAGCTGGATCGGCACGGGCCATGTGGTGTACAATGGCTCCTTCTACTACAACCGGGCCTTCACCCGCAACATCATCAAGTATGATCTGAAACAGCGCTATGTGGCTGCCTGGGCCATGCTCCATGATGTGGCCTATGAGGAGGCCACCCACTGGCGGTGGCAGGGCCACTCAGACGTGGACTTTGCTGTGGACGAGAATGGCCTATGGCTCATCTACCCTGCCCTGGATGACGAGGGCTTCAGCCAGGAGGTCATTGTCCTGAGCAAGCTCAATGCTGTGGACCTGAGCACACAGAAGGAGACCACGTGGCGCACAGGGCTGCGGAGGAATTTCTATGGCAACTGCTTTGTCATCTGTGGGGTGCTGTACGCCGTGGACAGCTATAACCAGCGGAATGCCAACATCTCCTATGCTTTCGACACCCACACCAACACACAGATCGTCCCCAGGCTGCTGTTTGAGAATGAGTATTCCTACACTACCCAGATAGACTACAACCCCAAGGATCGCCTCCTCTACGCCTGGGACAATGGCCATCAGGTTACCTACCATGTCATCTTTGCCTACTGACACCCTTGTCCCTGCAAAAAGAAGCACAGGGGGCCACTTGCACCGTGTGTGTGTGTGTGTGTGTGTGTGTGTGTGTGTGAGTGTGAGCACGTGGACGGGTGTTGTTTAAAAATATATATTATTTTGTATAATATTACAAATGTAAAATGACAGTTTGGGTCTATTTTTTTTATATGGATTGTAGATCGATCCATACGTGTATGTGCTGGTCTCATCTTCCACAGTTTATATTTTTGTGCAAATGAACTTCTCCTTTTGACCAGTAACCACCTTCCTTCCTGCCCTCCACCCCTCCAGCTCCCAGATCCCAACAGTCCAAAGGTCTCTTAGTCTGGCTCTTGTGGACAGACTACCAGGAGTAGGAATGAAGGAGGCAAGAAAGAAGTGCTCAGTGGCGGGAAAAAAGTTTTATGTATTGGAGAAGTTTTAAAAACACAGAAAAATGCTTTTTTTTTTTTTTAATAAAGAAGAATTTTAAAATCCTCACCCGGTGTGTGTTTGTTTAGCAGGAATGTGTCTTGACAGGTGTTGGATCCCTCTCCCAGGAGGAGGTGCTACTTGGTGTAATCCACAAATGTTTTCTTGCTGAATGGACTGTGTCCAAGTTCAGGTCCAAGGGACTCCTTCTCCCCTCTGGATGGGGGTTTTTCTCATGGGGGATTTGGAACGAAGTGACCTGTGTTCTCTTCAATGTTGCAACACTGATTCCTTCATTTCTCTTCTGCAGTCTCACCAGATTGTTTGCTCTTACTGTACTGCTTTTTTTTTTTTTTCCTGGTCATTTTACCCAAGATGTGGGAACCTTTTTGTTCCTTAGTCATTTTTCACATTGTCTGGCACTGTCAAAAGTGTAAAGCTGGGTGTCCTCACCATACCTTAAGAAGCTTTTAATCAGTCTCTCTTTGTCTCCATAATCCTGTCCTCTGCCTCATTTAAAAAATTCTATTAGCCAGGGTTTTCCTTTCCACCTTTCCATCCAGGAAAGGGACCCACTTCTGAAACAAGTCCTCTGAGCAGAAGAGAGAACCACAGCCCCTCCCAGTGCAAGGCTAAGCTCTGTATAGCCCTGGGGGTGGGCTTTTTCCTCCCCAGTACACCCAGCAGGAGACAGGACACCTGAAGATGCCTTGACCAGCATGGCCTGAGGTGTGTGTGGGAGGAGGACAGAGCTTGGGCATGAGGCAGGGAGACAAGCGCATCTCTGTGCTCACTGCCTCTGCCCTAACTTTGGGGAGCAGCAACTACCTATCCTTCACAGACCTCAGACCTTCTCCCCTCCACCTGCCTGCCAATGCTTGTTCTGCTCAAGTCTCCCCAAAGGGTAGATGGCTTCCCATTCCACCCCCCCATTTTCAAATAATAAATATGCAAATGAATATACTTTGTCTTGAGGCTGTTTGGGTCAAATTTGACTTAGCAAATGCAAGCAATGGTCTGGTTTGGTGGCAAAAGAAGGGTTAGAGGGAGAGAAATGGTAGGTTCAGAGTTCAGAAAGCATTTGATGGATACTGAGGTAGTGGAGCATCTCATGTCCAGAAGTCTTACCCTCCTGAAGCCCTGGCCTTTCTGTTGGGACCTGGGTTGGAAACTATAGCAGAGACCCAAGCCCCAGCCTGGCAGTGCTGCTCAGGGGAGTGAATGAGGCTCCCTGGGGAGTTGCTGGGAGGCAGGGGTGGGAATCACATCAAATGAAGATGTTATCTACACTTACTTACTTACTATATATCTAAGATGATATATTTATAATTGCCAAACTCCCAGACTGGACTATCCACCCCTCCCGAGGACCTCATTGTCTGGTTGCCCAGAGGCCAGCCCAGCATATTCTGCTCTTTACCACCTGTGTCTGACCTCCAGCTTAGGTGATTCATACAATCCCAGGGCATCTGATCTGCCCATTCTTTGGGTCTCTGCATTAACCCTCTGTCAAGCAGAGCTGGCCTACACTGTCCAGAGCAGCCTCAGATCTCAGGGTTCCTGGGCAGGTGGAGGATGGGCCTAAGAAGAAAACAATCAGGGTCCATGGCAAGAGGTCAAGGGCTTGGTGAGGGCACAGCTAACATGTTAAATAATTGACAGGCTCAGGCTGGATCCAGACTGAGAAGCCTCAAGTGGGAAGGAGTCGTGTAGGGACCAGGCAGGCATAGCCCCTGAGCCAAAGGGAGCAGTCTGTGGACTACGATGGCCAGGATCTGCTGGCCCAGGTCAGAGGCCTTAATAGTCACCCCTTTAGTGAAAGTCATCAGGCTCCCACCTGTCACTCTCTTATTGTGGAGCCTCTGAATCTCCTTTAACCCTCTTTGTAGGGGTCCTCATTTCCTGACCCCTAGTTAGGGAGTCATATCAAGGAACTCCTGCAACTTGGAGATCAAATAACTATACTTTGTCTTGGGACTGTTTGGGTCAAATAAACAATCCTCTGGGAGAAGCCACCCAGTTTGACTGGGTGAATTAATTGTCTTCAGACCAAACCACCTGCTTAAGATAGGTGAGGAAACTTCCGGTGCCAACCACAGGCTAGAGGGAGAAAGATGAGGGAGTATTATGGTTTGGATATGAGGTGTCCCCCCAAAATCTCCTGTGTTAATGCAGGAGATAAAATGATTGGATTGTGGGAGCGATGACCTAAACGATGAATTGGTCCATTTGATGGATTGATGATTTGAATGGACTAACTTGGTGGGTCACAGAGGTCATGCCCCACCCCTTTTCTTCTTCCCACCACTATGAGCTGAGCAGTTTTTCTATCATCTCTCCTCTGCTATGATGTTCTGTCACTTTGAGCCCAAAGCAAAGGATTTGGCTGACCCTGGTTGCAACCTCTAAAACTGTGCCCCCCGCCCCCCCCCGCCCGCCCAAAATACTTTTCCTCTTCCAGGCTGTGACCAGGGCCTGAAGCTGGGTGGTCAGAAAGTTTTCCCTGAACAAATCCAGGGCTTCTCCAAGCAGCTTTCTCACCTTAAACTAAACTTGGAAAACATCAAGACTCAGAGAATGAGTTTCAGAAGACTGAAGCATTCCACGCTGGRCCAGGTTGTATTCCGCGTGCTGCTGTGTGTGGCAGGCCTGAGGCATGGCCTCTCCTTCCACAACTCTGTCCTCACCTCTAAAATGAGGGGATATTTCCCAACTCTCAGACCTCTAACTAAGCCTTTTTCAACTTTGTAACCCTCTATGTAACTAGGACATTTTAGTTGCCCAACACTGATGGAAAAGTATACTAGTAAAGTACCCCAACAGTATAATTTCAAAAGTGGAAAAAACAATATGAACCATTAAGCCTTTCCTCCTTCTTCTCCTCCTCCTCCTTCCCCTCTTCCTACTCCTCCTCCTGCTTCTCTTCTGAACCTTATACACACTGAGTCTCTATCCCTGAGCCTCCATCTTTAAAAAAAATTTTTTGAGGGTGTCATTTAGTTGCTCAGGTTGGCCTTGAACATGCCATCCTCCTGCCTCAGCCTCCTGCATAACTGGGATTACAGGTGTGTGTCACTGCACCCTGCAGTCCACTCAGTTTTATATTTATTTATTCATTCAACAAATAATCATGGAATCCCTACTGGGATTACTGAGCGAAAAGACAGACTCKTTGCCCTCATGAGCTTTTGCGCATGCCCACGAGTGGGGTGGGGGAATACATTATGCGTGACGTGACAGGTAGCAGTGACATAAAGCAGGGAAAGGACCCAGGGACTCAGAGAAACATGAGAAGGGAGTGTGCTATTAATGTAGGTCAAAGAAAACCTGCGTGATAAAGCACTTTTGGGCAGAAACAGAGCACAATGATTGAGGGACTGGTGAGAGGAAGAGCACACAGACCCAAAGGCTGACAGCATGTGGAGCAGCAAAAAGAAGGAACCCYAAACCTGCAGAATCCCAGAAATCCTGCAGGCAGATGGTGAGGCTGGTGGAAGCACCTGCGACCAACCAGCACAGGGGCAGTGAGAAGGTTTACTCTGCTGCCCCTTAAAATGTCAACACACCTGAACCTTATTGGGCAATTACAAAGGGCCTTCTTCCACTGTGAAGAGAGATACAAAAAAAGATGTTTGCTACAGAGATGTCTCCTGGCACTTAGTTCCCCCACTTGGCATTCGTGCAAACTTGGATAARTCCCTTAACTTCTCCGAGTCTGGTTGTCATTCATAAATGGACTTCACTCTGCCTATAAGGAGGGTCAATTCATGAAAGATTTGAGTAAGGGGCATAAGTAAAAATAAATGAAAAGCAATGGCCATTATTATTGCCTAAAGCTGAATTGCTTTTTTTTTTTTTTTTTTTTGTATTAGGATTGAACCCAGGGGTGCCCAGGGGTGCTCTGCCATTGAATATATTCCTTGCTAAGTTGCTGAGGCTGGCTATGAACTTGTAATCCTCCTTCCTCAGCCTCCCCAGCAGCAGGAATTTTATGGTCATGCACCACTGTACCTAGCCAAATTGCTTATCTTAATTTCCCCAAACAGCTCCTCCTCTGGACTTCCTTAATGGTCTCCTGGTCCCCTGAGATTCAAGATCACAAGTCCTCTTTTTATTCCCCTCTCCCTGGGTCTCCATAACAGCATTGTGGGAGTTGGTATGCCCTTGTGGACAATTTCCAGCTCTCCTCTGTTCTGGCTGTGTGATCTTGGACAAGACCTTGAACTTTCTCTGAGGCTCATTTTCTTTCTCTTTTAAAATGTGAGTAATGGTAATGCTGACATGATTCGATTATTATTATTTTTTAGATCTTTTTACTGAGGATTTTAGATTTTCATTCAATGTAGATGTTTTGGGTACATTAATTCACCTGTTCATTCTTTCTATTGTATAAACTTAACTGGAAAAAAATAAAGTAAGCAATGTGGGGGGCCACCCCTGAGCTATTTGAATAGCCTCTATTCCTCCTTGGAGCCAAGGAGCTTTTGGTCTGGCATTGCAGGTCCTTCTGTGGCGTATCACACAAAGCACGTGACCTCGGCTAGAGAGGCTGCTCTGTAGCTACAGACTTGGGCATTACCCATTGGGCTTGGATAGCTCCCCGCCTACCTTATTTGGCAAAAGAACATTCCAWTGAAATCCTTTGAAGCCCCCTTTGTATAAATAAAGCAAATGTGGGCTCTTCTCTCTCTCTCTCTCCTTCCAGTGTGGAAGCAGGTCATAGAGCCGTCCTACCCCCTCTTTCTAAAAAAACTACTTCTGTGTCGTATGATTTTTCACCGTATTTCTCAGCCAGCACACCTCCTGCAGAGGGAAACTAACTCAAGAATTATAGCCCGGTCAGGACKCGGGCCAGAGAGCAATGGATCTTAGATGGCTTTTAGGGGACATAATRAAACAACATCTGAAGTACAAGGCAAAATAGGCACTCCACCGCTTATTTTATTTTGTGTGATTTTTCAATTACACGAAAAAATAGATGAAATGGCACCCCCTTTCTCCACAGAAAAGCCGTCTTCACCATGGCTGATTTTAGGATTGTCAGCAAAAGAGTCTCTGCAAAAGA